GAAGTGGTTATTACCGTTATTTTTGAATATTGATTAAAAAAATTTTTTTTATTTTTTATTAAATCTGAGTTACGTAAATATGTAACACATTTAATTTAGATTTGTGTAATGTTAATCTTACTAAAATATTAAATTTTTATAAAAATCTTAATTTAGACTAATTCCAAAAATCGGCACATATGATATAACTATATTGTAAAAATATTTTAAAAAAATTAGAGGTTTCAGCAAAGTAAAATTTACTATTGAATATTTTTTTCTCATAATTGTTATATTAACTATTAAATGAATTTTTCTAAGAAGTTTTCTCATAACTCTGAATTCTTTTCACTATTTTTTTTTTTGAAATTTAGCAAAAGTATCTCAAACAATTACATCTTTCATGTAATAGAAAGCTTTTCAAATAAAGAATTATTTAAGTTTTGACAATAATAAATATTTATTCTTAAATACATTTCCATAAGATAAAATTTTTTCTTTAGTATTTTTTTAAAAAAGCGAGATATTATGTTATTCTTTAAGTTATTGAATATTCTTTAAATTTTTAATATTTATTAAATCCTAATTAAATGCAAAAGTTATCAAATTTTAAAACTTGGAGATTTTTCTAGTAAAAAACAAAAAAAATTCCTGAATTTAATATCATATTAATTGATGATCAATAAAAATCTTTATTAATAAAATTTTATATAAGACCATATATAGTTTTGATTTAATTAATTGATAGTACACTTTAATAATACATGTACAATAGGTGTTACAAATAACATATATATTTTATTTTGTTTAAAAGTAAAACAATTTGAAATATGTTAAAGTATATTGTACATAATATATGTATAGTAGGTGTTATAAATAATATGTATATTTTGACAAGTTTGATTTTATTTTATATTTAAGAATTTCTTGATTGACATCAAAAATGATTAATAATCAGATTCTGCAGATTCTGCCATAGTATTAACTAAAACTATGCTTATTAACTATAAGATGCATTTAATTTAGTGAATTTGCTAAATTAAATATTTTCATTTTTTTTTTTAAAAAAAAAAATAAATATCTAATTATATTTTAATAATTTAATTATTACTCTAATATATACATAATAATATAACATATTTTAAAATTTTCTTATATTATTACATATCACTATATAGACATTTTTTTTTTTAATTTAAATCAATTTTCAATTTTATTAATTTTATATCAAAATATAGTTAGTTATATAAAATAAAAACTACATTATATAAGTGTTAAAATTATTAAATTAAAATTACAGCATTATAAAATATGGATTTTACTATTTATTTTATATTATTTAAATATTTAATAAAATATTAAGATTAGCATTGTAGATTTATGAATTACAATTTTTTTGTGTAATTTTTGTATATTTGGCATTAAAAATAATTAAGAATTACAGCAATTTAATATAAATTTTATATGTTATAGTTAATTTTGATGGTAAGTATATCATATTATTATACTGTATATAATATATACAAAAAAAAAAGACATACTGTAATATATAATAAATGTTAATAAATAATTTTTATCTCAGTTAAATATAAATTTATACATGGCACCAAATTATTTTGAACTGCCATAATTATAAAGTAAAATCCCAAATTCAATTATAGAATTCCAAATTATTTTGGTACTTTATATAGTAAATTATATATAAATTTGATTGAATTACGACATTCTAAATTATAATTAAGCAGCAATAATAGTATTTTTTAAAAAATTAGAGCAAATATTAATTATAATAGTCATAATAATAATAATTTTTTGCTAATACAATTTTACATTTATAATTATATATATAAACTTATTTTAGTAAAACAAAAATAATATTGGAAGTTTGGAATTAGTAAATAAAAAAAATGATTTATTAATATAAGATTCTGGACATTACATATATAACTTCTTTTCACAAATTAACTCTAAATTTCAAAAAACAAATCTGATTATTTCAATATCCAGTAATTTGATTTATGCGAACTTTTTTCTATCTGTTTTGTAGTTCTTGTTAAGCTCTATAAAATAAAAAAAATTGTATGAATCAGATTACTGGAGATAAAAAAAGCAAATTGGACTTTTTTGGCAAAAAGTCAGTTATAACTTATATAAGAAATGTCTAGAATCCTATTAATATATATTAAAGTAACTCCTTTTACCCTAACCTTAAGTTACTTCAGATCAACATCACTCTAAAGATAATGCACCTAATCTAAAAGGACACCGCCTACTACTAAGATATGTTACCGGTAGAAATTTCACTTTCATATGAAATCTTACCTTAGGATTTGCTTAAATTCTATTGGTTAATTGACTAAAAAGGAAAAAAATCATAACAATGTAACATAAAATTTCCTTTTATAGTAGGATCTTTAAAGAGTTTTATATGTAAACTTTATTTTAGGCCACAGGATGACCTATCTTAATAGTAGGCGGGGTCCCAATCTAAACCAATTTTTTTACCCTAATTTTAAGCCACTTCAGATTAATTACTTTAGAAATAACACATTCAATCTAAACTAACTCCTTTTACTTTAATAGGACCCTGGATAATTAGTATAATAGGGATCATATGTAAAATAAGTATAAAATTTTGTATTTTTAATGAGCAGGTTATATAAAAAAAACGTATATTTTAAGAAAATGTTATATGCAAAAATAGTATATTATAAAAATAGGTTATAGTAAAAAAAAGTATAAAATTTCAGATAAAAATTCAATGTCATATATAGATTTATTATAAAAATGTATATTTTAACAGTTAGTATTTTGCTTTTTATCGTACTTGTGATAATATCACTTATTACATTACAGGTTTTCATTGGTAGAGATCTTGATTTTGTGACGCATAAAGAAAAAAATTTATTTTAAAATTTTTTTTTTCTCCTCTCCTCTCTTTAGAACAGTATTAATAGTATAAAAATAAATAGGAATAGTGGAAGTTTCATTATTTTTACATTTGTTACTTGAAATATATAATATTCTTTCTTTTTTTTTTTTATGACAAAACATTCTGGATATTGGTAAAGATTTTTGAAATTATAAGTATGGAGAATATATAAAGGTATTATTTCTCAATTTTTTTTTACTATTTTTGCATTTTTTTATCTATAAACCTTACTAATGTTCTTTTTTTTTAGAATGAACTTGAACTTCAAGAAACCTTAAAGTTACAAGTGGATTTGAGTTCTTTTCTCTTTTTTGTTTTGGCATTATTCTTTATTTAAGGACATTATTAATGGATTTTCTTTCTTTTATTTAGGGATATTTTAACTTGAACTTTAGTATTGATTTTAAAATTGCAATAAATGTTTCTCATTTTAGTATTTTTTGATTTTAAAACATTATTAATTGACTTTGGTAATTAGCTTTTTTTTTGTTTTATTTTTTTTTTGATTTTGAATAATTATTAATATTCCTTTCTTTCTTTTTTTTAGGAAAATCTAAATTTCAGCTTGGAAAGTACTTAGATTTCATATCTTGGTAATAATTTGTACTTCTTTGATGGTATAACTTTCATTCTTAATCTTTAGCAAACTTATTTTTGATCTTTGATGGCAATTTTTGCTTTTGATTTCTAATAATAGATTTGGTAATTTTTATTTTAATCTTTGGAAATTTTGGGATTTTTACACATGGTTTTTTTGTTGTAAAATTGATATTTATTTTGATCTTGTAAATAACATAGTTATCATAAAATTTTATCATACAGCATAAATTTTACCTGATAAAACTGTGTGTATTTTATTGATTTGCTAGATTTTAAACATTATATAGAGGTGATATCTAAATTTACCCTATTTTAAAGATGATTAACATATATAATCTTGATATATCATAAATAAAAAAATAAAATTTTAACATAAATATATATTAATGTCATATGATAAAAAAGTATATTTTAGTATTATATAAAGGTTATAGGATAAAAATATATAATAAAATGACTAAATTTATGTATATTTTTTTCAAATTTTTATTAGTATCACAGATATAACCTCTATTATAAATTTATAATTGTCCGGGGTTCTACTTTAATTCTAAACCACTCAAACTAATACCACTCTAAAAATAATACAACTAACCTAAACTAACTCTTTTTATCTTAATCTTAAACTACTTTAAACTTATATATAATTGATATAATTTAAAATTTTTGCCAATCCTTTATTTTTTAAAAAATTATATAATAAATATATAATAATATGCAAATTTAATTATTTAAAAATTTTATAATTTAAATTATAAATTAATTTATTAATTTTACTATATTATATAAATTTAAATTATAAAAAATATTTAAATTTTTTCATATAAATAATTAGATGTTATTTCTTCAACAGATTTCCATAAAATACGTCGAAAACCAATTACTAATATAACAAATCCTTTTAATTTATTAGGATTTGATTTAGTTATTTTAATTCTTTTATCAAATATTCCTGAACTATAATAATCATTTGAATTTCCTTTTGAAATAATATTCATATATGATTTCAATTGTTTAATTCCATTATTTAATATTTCTTCTATAGTTATTTTTTTAGTTTCATTATATTCTTTTGACCAATATTCATATGATCTTTTTAATAGAATTTTTTCATCTTCTTTTTCAATAATTTTATCTAAATTTTCTAAATCATTTGTATTAAACTTCTTTTTTTAATTTTTAATTAATCCAATTAATGGAATATATTTTAATTCTAAACTAATATTATTATTTCCTATTCCTTTTAAAATAAAAATATCTGAATATCCAAATCGACCAAATCCTTTTAATTTTGTACCATCCATTACTAATGATAATTCAGGAATACAATATTTTAATGGTAAAAGATTTTCAACAATTGCTTGAAGAACAGGTTCATTTGCAGAAGATAATGATATTTGTGATCTTGTTGATAAAAATGTTTTTAAAAGTTCAATAAAAGGTAAAATATTATTTGCAACAAGATTTTCATATGCTGAAACAATAAGAAAAGCATCATTCACAACTTGTCTATATACTAACTTATCTTTATTTTGTTCTAAAATTCGAATTTGTTTTGTTACAAGTTCTAAATAATAATTAAAAAAAGTTAATAAATAATATAAAAATAATAAAAAATAATAAAAATATTATAATTTACCAGATGAAGAATCAGTATCATTATTTCGTGTTCTTTTTAAATTTTCTTTTTGTTTAACTTGAAAATCAATTTTTTCAGTCCAAATTTTATTAAAAGTTGATTCCAATTCTTCTCCTAAAATATGCATTTCACTTCCTATATCATTATATATATAACAATTGCGAAATATAAGACAAATATCTTTTTCAAATTCTTCAATACTTGCATATTGATTATTTTCTAATTTTGAAATTATTGTAAATAAATCCATTGAATTTTTTATATTTTCATTTGAAATTTCATAAAATGGATGAATATTAGATTTAATATCAAGTTCTTGAAGAATATTATAACAAAAGTTAATAAGTTGAAAATTTTTAGAATTATTTTCAGTAGAAATAGAATGATTTTTAATAGGAATTTCAATATTCTTTCTTAAATGAGATGAATTAGAAATGGATTGATTTTTAATAGAAATAAAGTGATCATTATCAGAAGAATTAGCAGGCATTACATTTTCTTTTTCATTATATTCTTCAGTAGATATTAAATTTTCTTTATATTCTTTGATAATTTCTTGCCAAAATATTTTTAATATTTTTGCATATCGAAATCGTTCTGCAATTACCTGTTATAAGAAACAGTTTATTAGTAGTGTGTTAAAATTTTATTTAGTAATACAAGAAGGTACATAGCCAATTCCTCCTCCAGAATTAGCAGACTTATATTAACTACAAAAGTTAGGACACCTGAACCGAGAAACTTGGAGTGGTTACCAAACATTTGTCAAATCCAGTAAATTCCGTAAGTTAAGCATGCTTTAACTTAGGGGTTACCCTAACTAATGCAAAATAAAAAAAAACACACCTTGTTTTTTAAATTAGAGAAATCTTTTCCTTCATCCATAAAACGAACAGCCCAAAGATTATCAAGATTTTTCCAGTTGTCTAAGAAAGTTGAAGTAAAAGTAATATCAATTGAAGCAATAATAGTATCACGGTGCTTTTTTAAGAACCTCCAATATGATTTTGTTGTCCTATTTTTATTTGATAAATAATAGATAAGGGCTAGAAAAATTGAAAATTTTGATTAGTTGTTAATATTACAAGTTAAAAAATACAGTTCACAAAAAAGATTTACCATTTTGACCAATATAGTTTTCAGATGTGCTCATGTTTGAAATTGGTAAAAAAATATTGATAATTGAATTTAAAAGTTGATTGATTGATTAAGATATAAAAAAAATTTGATTGATATAAAAAAAAAGAGAAATTGATAAGAGTTTAATGTCTTAAATAAAAAAAGAATCCTTTGTAGATAGTATGACTCAGACTGACATATTGATATATCAAAATGAAAAAAATTAACACTACAATTATAATAATTAAATCTATTATTTATCATATTAACAAGAACTTAATCATTTTGCCAAATATGGTATAATATAATTCTTGATTAAAATCATGTCATTAGAATTTAGACATATATAGCTTAAGAGATTAAAGGTAATTTCATTTTAATTTCAGTTATTTTGTTTAGCAAATGACTCAACTTTCATCATTTTTACGCATTTTGACATATACGCGTTTAAAAGATGAAATAATTTAAAACACGTTGATATTGTGAACGATACATGTACAGTAGGTGTTACAGTTAACATATATATTTTGCGAAAGTAACATATTACGCGTTTAAAAGTTAAACAATTTGAAACGAGTTGAAATATATTGTGCACGATACATGTACAGTAGGTGTTACAAATAACATATATATTTTGACAAATACATACTAATGCGAAAGTAAAATATCACGCGTTTAAAAGTGAAACAATTTGAAACATGTTGAAGTATATTGTGCACGATACACATACAGTAGGTGTTACAAATAATATGTATATTTTGACGCGTTTTACTCTATTTTATATTCAAGAATTTCTTGACTGCGAAAGTATTTGACATCAAAAATGATCGATGATCAGATTCTGCAGATTTCGCCGTAGTATTAACCAAAACTATGCTTATTAGCTATAGGACGCGTTTAATTTAGCGACATTTGCTAAATTAAATATTTTCGTTTTTTTTTAAAAAAAAAATAAATACCTAATTATATTTTAATTGATATATCTTACTGTAAAGAAATTCCCAAAAAATCATTGTATAGAATCACAGGAAGTTGTCATGAATTGCAAGAGTTCCATTTTGCCGAAGCACATTGGATCAACGAATAAATGTATAAGTTGCGCCATGAAGTCTTAATATTTCAGGTAGTAATTATTACTATAGTATATACGNACCTAATTATATTTTAATTGATATGATATCTTACTTCCCAAAAAATCATTGTATAGAATCACAGGAAGTTGTCATTAATTGCAAAAGTTCCATTTTGCTGAAGCACATTAGATTAACGAATAAATGTATAAGTTGCACTATGAAGTCTTAATATTTCAGATTGCAAGGGAGAAATCAATGATTCCAGTAATTATGTAATTATTACTATAGTATATATGTAATAACATAAGATATTTTCAAATTTTATTACATATCATATATATCATATAAGACATATTTTTTTTTTTTTTAACTTAAATGAGTTTTCAATATTAACTGTATCAAAATATAGTTAGTTATATAAAATAAAAATTAAATACATATCCACATTGTATAAGTGCTGTCAAAATTGCACGAATTAAAATTACAGTATTATAAAATATAGATTTTACCATTTAAATATCTTTAAAGATCAGCATTATAAATTTACGGATTACAATTTTCTTTGTGTAATTTTTGTATATTTGGCATTCACACGTCAAATGACTAAAAACAGGCAAAAAAAATGGCTAGAATTGCATAAACTGTTCGCAAATTTATATAAACTATTTACAAATAGTATAGGTTAATTCACAAATAGCCAAAAACAGCTAAGAATAGCCAAGAATAGCCAAGAATAGCCACTGCTTTTCACGCCATTTTTTTTGCTGATTTTTAGCATTTCAACCTGTGATTAAATAATTAAGAATTATGGTAATTTAATATAAAATTTATATATTATAGTTAATTTGATGATAAGTATATCATATTATTATATATAAGGGTTTAAAATTTGTACACACCTGCGCATGTGCGCACCCCTATGGATATATTATATATAAAAGTCAAAAATGACATTCTAAACCCTTCATGGCTTATTAAGTAAAGTTGTAAAATAGGCAAAAATACGCATAGTAAATAAATTATCAAGGCTCTATAATATGTACATAAGAGTTGCGGCATGAATATTTAAAAAAATTGGGATTTTACTAAAGTCACGTGATAAATAATGATTGACAAATTTACTATATAAAAATTACCAAAAATGGCACATGCGCGGGTGCGCACAAATTTTATTTCCTATATATAATATATACAAAAAAAGAAAAACATACTGTAATATATAATAAACGTCAATAAATAATTTTTATCTCAGTTAAATATAAATTTATACATAACACCAAATTATTTTGAACTGCCATAATTATAAGTAAAATTCCAAATTCAATTATGGCATTTCAAATTATTTTAACACTTTACATAGTAGATTATATATAAACTGAATGAATTATGATATCTCAAAATAATTTGAGCAGTATGTATAAATATAATAGTATTTTTTAAAAAATTACTAGAGTAAATATTAATTCTGAAAAATTTATTAATTTAGTCAAAGATAAAGGTAATGAAAAATTGCTAAAATAAAAAAACTGTAATTTTAATATTTATAATAATAATAATTTTTGCTAATACAATTTTACATTTATAATTATATATGGGGACGCCCGTAGCAAAAAGGGGGATAGGCCAAAAAATTCAAAGTTGAGATTTTATTATAATTATATGTCTATTAGTCTAATTATTAAGAAAATATGGGTTTTTATTAATAATATATTAGTAAAAAAGTTTAATTTTGAAATTTTCTTATTATTTGCATTTTACTTTTATAGAATTAACAAGCAATATAAACCTATTAAAAGAAAATCAATACTCTTAGTAAATTGCCTGTCAAATTTAGTTTTAGATAAAAAAAAAAAGGTCTGAAAGTCAATTTATTTCACAATTAAGTGATGATTTGCCAAATTTATCACGTGATTTAAATTGCGATTTTTTTAAAATTACGGAATTATCCCATTCCTCCTTTTGCTACGGACGTCCCCATATATAAACTTATTTTAGTAAAATAAAAAAGATATTGGAACTAGTAAATAAAAAAAAATGATTTATTAATATATATTAAAGTAACTTTTTTTACCTTAACTTTAAGTTATTTCAGATCAACATCACTCTAAAAATAATACACCTAATTTAAACTAATCTTTTTACTCTAATTTTAAGCCACTCCAGACTAATTACTTTAGAAATAACGCATCTAATCTAAATTAATTTTTTTTATTTTAATTTTAAACCACTCAAACTAACACCACTCTAAAGATAATATAACTAATTTAAACTAACTCTTTTTATTCTAATATTAAACTACTCCAAACTTATACATAATTAATATAATTTAAAATTTTTGCCAATCCTTTATCTTTTAAAAAATTATATAATAAATATATAATAATATGCAAATTTAATTATTTAAAAATTGTATAAATTAAATTATAAATTAATTTATTAATTTTGCTATATTATATAAATTTAAATTATAAAAATATTTAAATTTTTTCATATAAATAATTAGATGTTATTTCTTCAACAGATTTCCATAAAATACGTCGAAAACCAATTACTAATATAACAAATCCTTTTAATTTATTAGGATTTGATTTAGTTATTTTAATTCTTTTATCAAATATTCCTGAACTATAATAATCATTTGTATTTCCTTTTGAAATAATATTCATATATGATTTCAATTGTTTAATTCCATTATTTAATATTTCTTCTATAGTTATTTTTTTAGTTTCATTATGTTCTTTTGACCAATATTCATATGATCTTTTTAATAGAATTTTTTCATCTTCTTTTTCAATAATTTTATCTAAATTTTCTAAATTATTTGTATTAAACTTCTTTTTTTGATTTTTAATTAATCCAACTAATGGAATATATTTTAATTCTAAACTAATATTATTATTTCCTATTCCTTTTAAAATAAAAATATCTGAATATCCAAATCGACCAAATCCTTTTAATTTTGTACCATCCATTACTAATGATAATTCAGGAATACAATATTTTAATGGTAAAAGATTTTCAACAATTGCTTGAAGAACAGGTTCATTTGCAGAAGATAATGATATTTGTGATCTTGTTGATAAAAATGTTTTTAAAAGTTCAATAAAAGGTAAAATATTATTTGCAACAAGATTTTCATATGCTGAAACAATAAGAAAAGCATCATTCACAACTTGTCTATATACTAACTTATCTTTATTTTGTTCTAAAATTCGAATTTGTTTTGTTACAAGTTCTAAATAATAATTAAAAAAAGTTAATAAATAATATAAAAATAATAAAAAATAATAAAAATATTATAATTTACCAGATGAAGAATCAGTATCATTATTTCGTGTTCTTTTTAAATTTTCTTTTTGTTTAACTTGAAAATCAATTTTTTCAGTCCAAATTTTATTAAAAGTTGATTCCAATTCTTCTCCTAAAATATGCATTTCACTTCCTATATCATTATATATATAACAATTGCGAAATATAAGACAAATATCTTTTTCAAATTCTTCAATACTTGCATATTGATTATTTTCTAATTTTGAAATTATTGTAAATAAATCCATTGAATTTTTTATATTTTCATTTGAAATTTCATAAAATGGATGAATATTAGATTTAATATCAAGTTCTTGAAGAATATTATAACAAAAGTTAATAAGTTGAAAATTTTTAGAATTATTTTCAGTAGAAATAGAATGATTTTTAATAGGAATTTCAATATTCTTTCTTGAATGAGATGAATTAGAAATGGATTGATTTTTAATAGAAATAAAGTGATCATTATCAGAAGAATTAGCAGGCACTACATTTTCTTTTTCATTATATTCTTCAGTAGATATTAAATTTTCTCTATATTCTTTAATAATTTCTTGCCAAAATATTTTTAATATTTTTGCATATCAAAATCGTTCTGCAATTATTTGTTATAAGAAACAGTTTATTAGTAGTGTGTTAAAATTTTATTTAGTAATACAAGAAGGTACATAGCCAATTCCTCCTCCAGAATTAGCAGACTTATATTAACTACAAAAGTTAGGACACCTGAACCGAGAAACTTGGAGTGGTTACCAAACATTTGTCAAATCCAGTAAATTCCCTAAGTTAAGTTCCAATTAACTCTAGGGGTTACCCTAACTTTGCAAAATAAAAAAAAACACACCTTATTTTTTAAATCAGGAAAATGTTTTCCTTTTCTCAAAAAACGAATAGTCCAAAGATTATCAAGATTTTTCCAGTTGTCTAAGAAAGTTGAAGTAAAAGTAATATCAATTGAAGCAATAATAATATCACGGTGCTTTTTTAAGAACCTCCAATATGACTTTGTTGTCCTATTATTATTATCTGATAAATAAGAGATAAGAGCTAAAAAAATTGAAAGAATTGGTTAATTATTAATATTATAAATTTACAAGTTAAAATACAGTTCATAAGATTACCATTTTGACCAATGAAATCTTCAGATGTGTTCATGTTTAAAATTGGTAAAAGAATATTGATAATTGAAAAATTAAGGAGTTGATTGATAAGTTGATTGATATAAAAAAAAAAAGAGAAATTGATGTCTTAAATATAAAAAGAATCCTTTGTAGATAGTATGACTCAGACTGACATATTGATATATCAAAATGAAAAAAATTAACACTACAATTATAATAATTAAATCTATTATTTATCATATTAACAAGAACTTAATCATTTTGCCAAATATGGTATAATATAATTCTTGATTAAAATCATGTCATTAGAATTTAGACATATATAGCTTAAGAGATTAAAGGTAATTTCATTTTAATTTCAGTTATTTTGTTTAGCAAATGACTCAACTTTCATCATTTTTACGCATTTTGACATATACGCGTTTAAAAGATGAAATAATTTAAAACACGTTGATATTGTGAACGATACATGTACAGTAGGTGTTACAGTTAACATATATATTTTGCGAAAGTAACATATTACGCGTTTAAAAGTTAAACAATTTGAAACGAGTTGAAATATATTGTGCACGATACATGTACAGTAGGTGTTACAAATAACATATATATTTTGACAAATACATACTAATGCGAAAGTAAAATATCACGCGTTTAAAAGTGAAACAATTTGAAACATGTTGAAGTATATTGTGCACGATACACATACAGTAGGTGTTACAAATAATATGTATATTTTGACGCGTTTTACTCTATTTTATATTCAAGAATTTCTTGACTGCGAAAGTATTTGACATCAAAAATGATCGATGATCAGATTCTGCAGATTTCGCCGTAGTATTAACCAAAACTATGCTTATTAGCTATAGGACGCGTTTAATTTAGCGACATTTGCTAAATTAAATATTTTCGTTTTTTTTTAAAAAAAAAATAAATACCTAATTATATTTTAATTGATATATCTTACTGTAAAGAAATTCCCAAAAAATCATTGTATAGAATCACAGGAAGTTGTCATGAATTGCAAGAGTTCCATTTTGCCGAAGCACATTGGATCAACGAATAAATGTATAAGTTGCGCCATGAAGTCTTAATATTTCAGGTAGTAATTATTACTATAGTATATACGTAATAACATAACATATCTTCAAATTTTATTACATATTACATACATATCTTTATTTTTTTGTTAACTTAGATCAACTAAATACATATCCACATTATGTAAGTGCCGCGAATTGAAATTACGGCATTACGAAATATGGATTTTACCATTTAAAATATCTAACAAACCATCAAAGATCAGCATTATAGATTTACGGATTACAATTTTCTTTGTGTAATTTTTGTATATTTGGCATTAAATAATTACGGAATTACTGGAATTTAATATAAGCTTCATATGCCGTAATTAATTCCGACGACAAGTATATCACATTATTATATATAATACGAGATAATGTATACAACAAAGACATACTGTAATATGAATTATCTAATTGAATATTTGCGAAATTTTCCTTTTAATTGCCGATCCGCCTAAAAACGGCACTGCGTTACTAATAAAATTCGGGGATAATAGCGATAATAAAAAAAAGCATTTTTTGCATCTCGCGCGCGAAATAAGTTTCACCCATTTTACAAACAGAAATATCATAAAAACAATATTTTCTTTCATTTTATGACAAGTCATATTTGCCAAAAAATTTTATAATTATATTTCTGTAACTGGTTTTCTTCAACTTTCACTTGTTTTTAATAATAAAAATATTTTAAAAAAGCTTTTAAAACCAACTTTAGAAGCTAAAAATTATAGGTTTTTATTGTAAATAATGCAATATAGTAAAATGAAATATTGAAATTTCGTATATTTTAAGGTGTAAATCTGACGCGCGCGCATAGTAAACTCATTATTTTGCATACGAATGTATAACTTTTTTTTGCAAATTCGTTTTTTTCAAATATTTTTTCAGTATATCATATGATTTTTTTTTTATAGTCAATATGTCATCTATGAGATATCCTTTTTTGAAGTTTGTGTTCTTAGCACAAAATCGGCAAATTTAACCCCGAATTTTATTAGTAACGCAGTGCCGATTTTAGGCGGATCGGCAATTAAATATAATAAATATAATAAATGTTAATGGATAATTTTTACCTCAGCTAAATACAATAGTATTTTTTAAAAAAATTAGAGCAAATATTAATAATTTTTGCTGATGTGTTGTGTTTACATAAAATAAAATAAATAATTTTTGTTGATACAGTTTTACATCCACAGTTACATATATAACATATATAAACTTGCTTTGATATTGGAGTTAGTAAATAGAGAAAGATGATTCGTTAATATATATTAAAGTTTGCAGGTAGTTTATCGAATTTTAAAGCTTAATTTCTCTAAAACAAAAATCCAATGAAAAAATCAAATAAAGATCGGAATTACATGATTACAGTTTCAGATGAAATTAACGCGCCAATGAAATTGTAAATCAATAAATTTTGTGTCAATAACATTTATAAAACGTGGGTCAGTACATTTCTTTACAGTTGATGACGGTGGGACTATCATTTTTTTTTGTATCACTTATCAGTTATCACTTAATAACTTAATATTTTTATGACAATGATATGATGATTCACCGTAAACATAAATTTTGATTGGGTGGAACAATTTATTTCCAACATAATAAATGTAATAATAATTCACATGTAAGACGCGTCAAAGGGAAATTTTGCTGCGGTCTTTGATTGCGGTCTATTTGATCACTTATGATCGAATCAACGGGTAAGCTAGTTAAAAAAGGCAACCAATTCCACGTAAAATATATTTTTAGCAAACAATTCATTATTTACTATAATTGAACAATTTGATCTTTTAATTCAATTGTAAGTATAAATAAACTAATGAATGTAAATATTAAATCACATTCATTTTTTTTTTAAAAAATTACGCGTTTTTTTTTATTTTTAATCTGGTAAATAAAAATGATGTAATTTGTTTTGTGAAATAGTTTGGGGCTTTTTTTTTTATTGCTTTTTATTTACTCTATAAATTTTTTTAAGCCCGATCTAAAAAGATTAATTTTCGTTCAATTTTCTTTTAAAAAAAAAAAAACCAAAGAATAATATAAAATCGGTTTAGGTAATAAATTTTCCAAATTGATACATATAAAAAGTTTCGATCAACTTTTTTAAGGGATATTCTTTGTAATAATTACATTAAAAAGGAATTTATTTTGTGAAAATGATCTCATTATTTTCTGATGATTTCAAATAGTTTGACTCTTTTTGGAATGGTAAAAATGGTAAAGTAAAAAAGCTGATCAAAGTTGATCGATCACAAGGACAACTTTTTTTTAAAAAAAAGGAATATTTTTTACATTAATGTTTTTATAAAAAAAAAAAAAGGAATATTCTAAAATTTTATTTAAATAATAAAAAGGAAAATTAAAAGGGTAACATAATAATATATTAAGATCAAGGTAGCATGAATATTCATGATCTTTGTTAAACGGGGGAATGGAATACTGAAGATCTAATAAAATAATTCCCCGGATCCTGAGAATAATTTAACCAAATAGAGGTTTTATTGATACATTGATACATTATTATTATCCAAAGAAATAAAATATTCTCCCACGATAATTTACTCCCAAATTATTTATTCAATCATTAACCAATAATGTAACCAATAATTTAACCAATTGNAAAAAAAAAAAAAAGGAATATTCTAAAATTTTATTTAAATAATAAAAAGGAAAATTAAAAGGGTAACATAATAATATATTAAGATCAAGGTAGCATGAATATTCATGATCTTTGTTAAACGGGGGAATGGAATACTGAAGATCTAATAAAATAATTCCCCGGATCCTGAGAATAATTTAACCAAATAGAGGTTTTATTGATACATTGATACATTATTATTATCCAAAGAAATAAAATATTCTCCCACGATAATTTACTCCCAAATTATTTATTCAATCATTAACCAATAATGTAACCAATAATTTAACCAATTGTTTGTCCAATTATTTTTTTTTAAAAAAAAAAGAAACAAAAAAAAATGGAAATGGAAAAAACTGAAACGGATAAAAAATTAATTTGTAAAATAAAATAAGAAAAGTTTATTATGCAGTATTTAAACCTTAGAGGAATGATAATTCACGAATAAAATCAATGAAATAGAAATAGGAAATTATTCATGTGAAACTTGGGAAAAAATCTCTTTTAAAATGAGAAAAAAGCTTGGTGCCACGCTGCCACAATTTTTTAAAGTGGCAATGAAAGACCAAAATTAGGATTTAAACTCCGATTATGAATGGGTAATAAACTAATTAAAGTAAATAATAGTAATAATATAATAAAAATATTTTGAATATTTTAATAAAAATAAAAAGTTTATTATAAAACGTTTAGCGAAATGATTTGTAATTTTATGACGCTGTGTTATAAATAATGAGTCATTTGATCAAATTTTTTCTGTATAACCCAAAATTGATTAAGTTGATTCACACAACGAATTACCAATTTTAATTACCCGAAATTTTTTGTTTCCTATAATTGTCGGTTTGAGAAATATCAAACTCCCAAAAATAATTTTTTGTCTTTTTTTAAAAACAAAATAACAAAAATAACAACCAAAATAAAAAAATAAAAAATAAAAAAAATAAAAAAAAAATTAGTCGAACTTTTTTTTTTTCCTCTTTCTTTCTATTTTATTTCTATAATTATAACTTTTTTTTTCTTTTTCTTCCCTTTTAAAAGAATATTTCTTTCCCCTCTTGAAAAAAGTATAATATATTTGACGTCATTTTTAGCGAAAAAGAAAAGAGTTAACACTTACTGGGTTAAGTTGTTAAAACTCTTTTTTTAATAATAATAAAAATTTATATAAACAAACAAAAATAAAATGATAAATAGTTTTTTTATAATAAAAAAATCACACAAATCGTTGAAAAAAAAATCATATATATAAATCATATATAAAAAATCATATATAAAAATCATATATAAAAATCATATATAAATCCAAAAAATATGTCTACATCACTTTCTAGATCAAGTTCAATTTATTCTACTCCTCCTCAAACTCCTTCTTCTGGAACTCCCCCTCCTTTCATAATGTGTACCGATTTTTTACCAAACCTTTCAAAAGATTTATCTTTATTACTCTCAGAAAATGAAGATTATAACATGATAATTAACGTTGGAGAACAACCAAACGTTAAACAATTTAAAGTACATTCTATAATACTTCGTGTACGTTCTTCTTATTTTAGAGCTGCTTTATCATCTGAATGGGCCAAAGTTGAAAATAATTATATCACTTTTAATAAACCAAATATTAATCCTAAAATATTTGAAATAATATTAACTTATATTTATACTGGTACTATAATATTGGATGAAAGTATTAGTTCTGATACTATGTCTATCTTAGAAGTTATGATGGCTGCTGATGAATTATGTTTACAAGAAATGATTGATTACGCTCAAGATTATCTTTTACTTTATAAACCTGGTTGGATACAACGTAATTTTTCTACTACTCATAAGATCGCTTTGGAACATTCAAATACTTTTACAAAATTATTGGATTATTGTAATGAAATAATAGTAAATGATCCTGAATTGGTTTTTTGTTCTGAAGATTTTAATTCTATTGATGAAAATACTTTTATATCTTTATTAAAGAGAGATGATTTATTAAAAGATGAAGTTGTACTTTGGAATCATTTAATTAAATGGGGTACTTCTCGTGCTTCTATATCTAAAGATTTATCTAATTGGTCTAGTAAAGAATTTGAAATATTATCTGAAAAAATTGAAAAATCTATTTCTCATATTAGATTTTTACATATATCAAGTGGTGATTTTTATAAAAGGGTTAAACCTTTTGCTCAATGTTTACCTCCTGATTTATTTGAAGATATATTACAATATCATCTTGTACCTGGTCATCAACCTTCCTCTGATTTGATTCAACCTAAAAGGGCTACTATTGATTCCGTTATTATTGAAAGAAAACATGCTGCTTTATTAGCAAGTTGGATTGATGGTAAAGATGAATTGGTTCAAAATAAGAGAGATTGTTTAGATAATCCTTATGAATTTAAATTATTACTTAGAGGTACTAGGGATGGTTTCACTGGTACTGATTTTCATCAAAGATGTGATTCAAAATCTTCTACAATTACTATAATGAAAGTTTCTAATACTGGTGAATTAATTGGTGGATTTACTCCTATTAATTGGTCTTCAAGAAATGATTGGGGTTTTACTCATGAATCTTTTATTTTTCATCTTGGTGAGAAAAATGTTGTTAGTAGAGTTACTGATCCTGCTAAAGCAATTAATTATTATGAAAATTATGGTCCTTCTTTTGGTAGAAATGATTTAAAAATGTCTGGTAATTTTAAAGCTGAATTAAAATGTTGTTGTAAACAAGGTGATTATGAATTCCCAATTAGAAATGATACAAATAGTTTTAGTATTGATGAATATGAAGTATTTCAAGTTATTCCGAGGAGACCAAATTTAATGAATTTGATCGTATGAAAAAAAAAAAAAAAAAAANAAAAAAAAAAAGTATTATTTTTAGTAGTAGTTATTTTAGTAATTTTGTAGACAAAAAAATTATTTTTAGAATAGTAATAATAAAATATAGAACATTTTATAATTTTTTTTTTTTTTCTCTCTCATTTTATTCATTTTTTAATATAATATTAATTAGCAATTTCATTATTATTTTTTTTTGAGATTCGAATAATTAGTTTAGTTTTTCAAAAAAAAAAAATTTTGACATGTATTAAAGCAATAATAAAAAGTCATTTTTTTTTTGATTCAACGAAAAAAAAAATGTGCGCAACGAAGTAAAAAACAATGTGCGCAACGAAAGTAAAAAATGTCAGGTGATCTTAATAATTATATAAAATTGGTTGTATTTCGTTAGTTGTATTGATCGTAATATTTCATCATTATTTAACCTATTTCGGGTAAAAATATTTAATTAAATGATAGAATTTTTACACAATTAATGATATATATATAAGATAGGCTCGAGACGGATCTGGTTTTTCCACTGCGGATTGATGTTTGAAATACCCGATTTTTTATGGCATAAAGGCGTATTATGCGCATATTAGAAAATTATGACGATTGATTTGTTTTTTTTTTCTCGATTTTTTTTTTTTAAAAAAAATGACATAATTGATTGAAAAATCGGAAATCAAATTATGCATAATGAATGACAATTAAAAGAATTACGTGATTTTTAGTGTATATTAATTATTATGTACACTGATCTAGTGATCTTGGCAACGGGTAATTTGCCCATTTTGGTATTTTAATGATAATATTATCCCGATATTTTTTTTTTGTGTGAGACCAAGATTATGTAATGTTGAGGAGTGTGACAAACTACTAGAGAATTATCGGGTATTCAAATTTGATGAGATCATTAAATATATTATTATGCCTCATGCAAATTTATCCGTTGTTTATAATATCTGCATTATACATACGGTAGTATTATGATTGTTCCTTATTATTTGTCTTAGTAAAATTAGTAAAATCAGAATAGATCAAAAACTAATTTTTTTTAAGTTAAAATATTTGAAATAACAAGAATTACAAGTATTTTGTATTTTGGCTAAAATTAAATCTTTTCAATTTAGTAAATTATGGGCTAAAATTACTTAAAATAGTATGATTACAGTATTTTAGGGATGGTCATCAAGAAAGATAATTAATAAAAATGGTATAAATTAAAAAAAGGTAAATTGCGTGGATATTCTGAAATTTAGTAATTATATATAAAAAAAATTAACTGGTCCAAATGATTGTATAAATTATGATTGATAGCCCAATAATAAGATTGATAATGCCGAAATTAAAAATGAAGATGCATTCTCAAAAGGTCTTATTTTACAATTATTTTGATTTTGGGGAGGCTTTGTATTTTAAACAATTACAAAGGAATTAAAAATCTGACTATTATAAGGATTGATCTCAAGCATTAGAGAATTAGTTAAAAAGTGAGGTTAAAAAAAGCGATCCCTGAGTCAGAATGTTCTGATGAAGCTTTGCGGAAGATCCGAAAAGATTTATAAGCTTTTTAAAAAATAGTTTAGATAAAGAAAAAAAATAGCGTGGATAAAATCCATTCCTACAGGTTTCATCTTAAATCTAACTAAGGATGAAAAAGATTATGTAATGTTTGTACTGCGGAAAAGGATGGAGAGAGATCCGAAAAAATTTATATGCTTTTTATCATATAGACAAAGAAAAAATAGCGTGAAATCCATCCATCCAGGTTTCATCTTAAATCTAATCTTAAAAGGTTTGATACAACCGTTTCTTCTACGCAATTTTGACGAGCCCTGGACACGGTGCCCAGACCTCTGCCATGAGCAATAGCGGGTATTTCTTGCACGTGTATTTTCAAACATGCTGTATATTAATTAATAAAGCATTTCCCATATCGGGTTTTATTTTAAAGTGTGTTCTGCATGCGTCAATGATTGCTAAATATTATAAAGTACTTTTTGCCAAACATCACGGAAAATAATTTGTCAAAACGGTTAGATTATCCCGAAAGTACTGCGCTGTTTCTTCCAGACTCTACCATCAGAAAAAAGAGTATTGCTTGCACGTGAATTTCAAAGCATATATTATCCCATACATATTTCGATTCTGATTTTACGCATTAATATAATTAATATTGGATCATGCATTACAAAAATATATCAACTTATTTTTTTACGCAAATTGATCAGTATAAGTCACATTGCGACTGTACATTGCCAAAGAAACAAAGAAAGGCTCGAATTTTTTATTGATACATAAAAAATAAAATACATTATCCGGTCTCATTTGACCAATAATCTATAAAAAATGGTCGTCAGTTGTCAGTCGTCAGTTATACTTGTACGAGACATATACTTGAGTACTACGTTATTTTTTGTGTAATGTGTCACGAAATTTGATTAAGTATTTGAGATGATCATGCGAAATTTATTCCTTGTTTCGTAGGATTCGAATATAACGTAAAAAAATAAGGTTAATCTACACTTTGAACTCTGGTAAGGTTTACAGTCACGCGTATCCCTACTGTCGTTAGGCTGCGTTCAGATGTTTGGAGGCAGTCTCCTGGGCAATCCTTAAGCATACGTGTTTAAGGCACCGTAGGCACGTTCCAGCATGCTGTTTTCCAGGATGCGTTTATTACACCTACTGTCGTTAGGCAACACAATCCTGCGTTCAGATGTTTGGAGGCAGTCTCCTGTACAATCCTTAAGCATACGTGTTTAAGGCACGTTTCAGCATGCTGTTTTCCAGTATACAGTTGACTGTAAACATTACCACGTTGCTTTATTAAAATGGATAAACAGCAATTGAATGCATTAATTTCTTTTTCAGATGTTTGAATCTGGGAATATCTTGATGAAAGTAAAGGTAAAGACTGGTTAATTCTTGGAATTTTAGAATTTGCGCGATCGAACTCGAACCCTAAATTATCCGTGGCCACAATCGATGATTTTAAGGACGATCTATATGCAATATTACGAAGTTATGCAAAAAAAAATGTAACAATTCACATATATACCACTGCCAAATTGAAGCAATTCATCAAAGATCTTGAATATCGCGAAGAAGCGCGACTTAATGTTACATCCAAATATACATACAGTTTTAAAGGTAAGATTTACAAAGTTCGAAACTAATATTTATGATTGATATCGAACTTATCAAAAATCTTTAGGATCAGTAAGAAAACTAGAAGCTTATTGATCAATTACGAGAAACATGCAATAAACAAAAGCATGAGATTATTAGACGTGGAAGGAGATCAAGAAGATCGTTTGCACAAACGTCAATGCAGTTCATCTGGACAATTGGAAATCACAGGCAATAAAGCCGACTACCACCATTAAATTTTAAATTTTAGGAACGGAAACCTGACGAAGATATTTTCCAACCCACCCACTGTATCTAAGTGACGCCTCTTGCAAGTATATATATATTCATGTAGGAAGAAAGGTGATTTGCTATCTCCAGTCATACCATAGAATATATTCATATATACCTTGAAAGCATATTGTTTCGTATCCAAACAAGAGTAGTCAAAACAAATAGAATCATATTCTGCTATAAATACATACTTTTTTTTATTAATAAAATGATACAAATTTTTGCTAAAGTTGCGCGTTTTTTTTTTTCTTTCATATTTGCTAAAATCTGCTTGATAGCTCCTGATAATAATAAACCTTTACCCATTAAACCTATTATTAGATTCATGTTTTTCTTTTTGTCTTTCAAAGGAGTTAAACGTTTTTTCATCTCATTCCATTTACCAGATACAATAGCATAAAGTTCCTTTTCTTCTGAAATACTATTATGTTGAACAGATCAGGCACATGATGAGTTATTATTAAATAGAAATTCAATTGCACAAAGTTTCTTTCCACTACTTTCTATATATAGTTAGAGCTTACTCGTGAGATAAGGTCATTTTATCAGATAAGAGATATACTTATATGTCATAATAATATTCAAATACAATAATGCAAAATCCAAACTAGATACAGGATGCTTATTTTAGTCTTTACTGATGTAAAGACATATGCTCCAGAAAATGACTCAGATTCTACTTATAGTACTGGTTAAGATCCCTTTTTACCATACACTAGCATCTAAAAGATTACATATCCTCATTTCTCCTGCAAAATAATATGCACCAAATAATGGTCAAAATGCTACAGTTACTACCTTTTTAAATTTATTAATTGAATTATTATACTTAACTATTAATTACTAACAACTAAGAGCATTAATAATGCCATTTATAAACTATTAATTTTTTATTAAAAAAAATTTTGTAATTTTAATTAACATTTATTAAATTTTTTTTTATTTAATAAATTATTAATTAAATTAAATAATTAAGTTTTATTAAATTACAGTTATTATATCAATAATTATATTATTATATATATTATTTTTATATATAACTAAATATTTTATTCCATTTTTTCTATTGGTAAAATAACAATTTATTAAATTAATATAATTCTAATGATTATTATTATATATATAATACTAATTATTTATTTTACTAGTTTAATTATTAATTAATAAATTTTATTTTGTTATTTTTAATATATAATTTATAATTAATTTATATATATTATAATTAAATACTTTTTTACTCTTAGTTTTTTGTAATTATTTTATGAATTTAATAATCAAAATATATTTGGATATAATTCTAAATATTTAATATATAACCCATAACTGGTTTACATTAAAATTAATGCTTTTATTTTTTTTTATTTTTTTACTATTATTTTAAATTTAATAATCAGATTTGAATAAATATTTTTTTGTTTTACAAAGATTATTAAATAGTTGTTACAAATATTTGGGTTTTTTAGAAGTAAAAAAAAAATAAACAAGTATAAAAAAAAAAGAAAAAATAAGAATCTTAACAGATCTTAAAAAAATCTATTAATTTATACATTATATATATAATAAGATTGAATCTATTCAGTTAATAATTTAATATTGACTAATTAATGTTTTCAATAAATTTATTTATTATGGATCTAAAATTTATGTTAACTATAAATAGCAGTAATGGAAATATGGAATACGTGACTTTACTGCGGATCGGTGCATCTTTAAAAAAAAAATGTTTTTTCAGTCGAGCGATTTACTAATATGGCTTGTAAATTAGATTCTGCGAAAAATTTGTTTAAATATCCGGTAATTAAATGGCATAAAATGAGCCGCAAAATCATTTTATATTTGAAAATTTCCCAACTAATTTAGATCAGGTGTGTTTTTTAAATTAAATTTCTTTTTAGAGATACGCTATTCCCGCTCCTAGCGAAGGAAAGGAAGTAAACGAAGAAGACCCATATGAAGTTGTTTATATTGACGACTTAGACAAACGAAAAGCTGCGTTTGGAATATGCTTCCAGTGTAATGAACCTGGTACAGGAAACAATTGGTGTAGACCTTGCAACGCTAAAAGATTTAGGGAAGAATTTAAAAATTGGACAAGCGGAAATAAGATTATTGATGAATTTATACAAGAATCACAACTTAATGCAGTATATTACACACAATTTCTTGAATGGGTCCCTTTTGATAAATTTAAAGATGTTACTTATGTTGCCAGAGGAGGTTTTGGTAAAATTTATAGGGCCATTTGGCATGAAGGACACATATCATTTTGGAAGCATAAAGAACAAAAATGGATGAGACAAAGTAACATTGTTGCATTAAAAAGTTTGGATGGTTCTTCTGATATAAGCATTGATTTTATTAATGAGGTAATGATATTGTTAAACACATGAATGTATATATATATCTCTTAACAATTAATAATTTTAATTATTTTTTTTAGATCAGATCTCATCTACAGATTAGTGTTGTTCATGATATTATTGAATGCTATGGAATAACACAAGATCCAGCTAGTAAAGATTATATGATGATATTAGAATTTTGTGGTGACGGAAATTTACGTAATTACGTAGCTAATTCTAAAGAGTATATACCTTACGATGAAAAAACTTATGATTTATACCAAATTGTAAAAGGTCTTAAAAGTATTCACGATGCGGGGAAGGTTCATAAAGATTTTCATTCAGGCAATATATTATGTGAAAATGTAGGTACATGTATAGCTATGTATATTAGTGATTTGGGACTTTGTCGACCAGTAGCGGAACAATTAGAAAGTGGAAAGATTTATGGAGTATTGCCGTATGTAGCTCCTGAAGTATTACATGGAAAGCAATATAGTCCAGCTGCGGATATTTATTCGTTTGGCATTGTGATGAACGAATTTTTATCTGAGGAGTATCCTTTTGGCAATATTCCTCATAATTACGCTCTTATAAAGAATATTCTTAATGGAACTAGACCGGAAATATCCGAACATGTTCCGAAATTCCTTGTAGATGTTATTATGAAATGTTGGAACGCTAAGGCTGAAGATAGACCAACTGCCAAAGAATTGGTTCATGTATTTGGAAAATGGATAGATGAAAAAGATGATGAAAACAGTGAAATTTATTTTCAAATTAAAAAAGGCGACGAAAAGTATGAAGAATGCAAATCGAAAAATATATCTAAAAATACATCATCAATAAATGCATTAATAAATAAATCAGATGACAATAGTTTTAAATTCACTCAAACGCATCCACAAGCTATATATACTAGTAGAAATCTTGATTTCGAGATATCATCTGATATAGAGTTAAAATTAGGTAATTTTTAATATAACATTTGATTTTCATCATAAACTGTAAATAATTTATTATTTTTTTTTTACAGATTGATTGAATAATGTTGATAATTAAAATAATTTTTTATACTCTATTTTTGACGACGAATAATAAGAATAATACAATGCCGAAGTTTTTTTTTATATCATTATTATTTCATTTTTACCGCTTTTTTTACAATATTATTTATATTGGTTGGGTATAACTGTATGGAGATCTGACTATAACAATGAAACTTATAATGTCGTAATTTTTTGTAAATAAATTACCATATTTATATTTCTGTAATTTCATATGATATTAATAATCAAGAATTATGAGCCACAATTTTATCATAATAGTAATAATAATACATTTATGATGTTTCAAATAAAGATCATGGTGCAAACGAAAGATGATTGAACTTAAAAAAGAAAGTTTTAAAAATATTTAGAACTATAAAATAAAATTAAATAGAATGAATGTGTTTACATATGATAACACTGTAGTGCGGTCACATCAATTGGAGCAAAGCCCATATTCTAAATTAAGAACTTCCCATATTTGTATCGAGACTATTGACATTTGGTAATAAATGCTGTATTTTCAACTTAAGGAAATTGATCACATATGATCCGCAGAAGAAACAATAGAAAAAATCTTTTTAAGATGAATAGAATCAGGCCACCGGGACATTCGATACATATTTAATCTTAAATTTCTAGTTTTCTAAGAATCTAAGTTTCGAAATTAATTAAAGTAATTAAAGTGAAACGTACACCTTTGTAATAATAACCTGCAGAACTTAAATTTTGGGGAGTATTTTTGTAATGCCTTACCAAGAACATCGATGTTTTAATAAAGTCACGTGATTTTGGAAACGGCTGATTTACATATTATATTAAAAAAAGCAAAGTATCATTATTAAGGCGCTGTAACTCAGTTCACCTTGTGACGTAAAAATAAAAAATAAAAATTAAAAAAGCAAAGTAGCATTATTAAATATACTGAAAAAATATGTTAATTGTAATTTGTAAATATACGGCATTATATCTAGACAAATCTAGACAAATTTTGATGATATTTATGGATTAAAAAATATATTATATATTATATAACATAAATTTAATAAGTAATAAGATTTTTTTAACCTTTAGTACTTTACATATAGATAAATTTATATAAATTTAATAAAATTTCTTTCATTTTATTAGATTTTATTAATATCAATTATTAAATAAACCAATTTTTCAGATATTTAAATATAAAATAAAAATATTTTTTATAATTTTATTAATTTAATTCTTGATTTTTTTTTTTGTATGTTATAATAATTTAAAATTAAAAATAATTTTTTTTTTCATGTTTTCATGTTAATTTTAATAATTTTAAATATTAATAAAAAAATTTTTTTTTATTATAATTACTTATGCAAACTAATACTTTAATATACAATAAAAATAAATATATATGTGTACATATATATAATAATATTTAAAATAAAAATATTAAATTGTAATATAATATATATAATGATATATAATAAAAGCTTTTATAATAAATCCTTTATAATAAATCCTTTATAATAAAAACAAGGTAGACAAATTGTTATTCATGTTAGTACCTTAATCTTTTTGTTTTTTTTTTTTACAGCCCCCTCTTTCCCCTTTTTTTAATTTGTACTTTTTTTTATAAAAATTATTATATTTTATATATTATTTATATAATGTAAAATCAATTATAAAAAAAAAAATTAATTATTATTAAAGGTAAGGTTCATACTAAATAGTAAGTTTTTATTATGTACAAAGCCACATATTGCAAAAATTTTGTTACTGTAATACAAGTCCTGATTAATTCATGCAAAGATTCATCAGTGGCTTTTTTGAACTTTAATACCTGTTTTTTATAACGTAAAAAATTAAGGTTTTCAGAATGGGCCAGGCCTCTATACTTTTTAAAAAAGTTGATGACATCTTTAGTATTACAGTACTCGGGTTACTGCGCTACCTGATACATTTAATATTAATATTATTACATAATATATATGTTGCCAAATTTCTAAATAAACACGGATAATAAACTGTCTCTTATACACATCTAGATGTGTATAAGAGACAGATATATATGTTGCCAAATTTCTAAATAAACACGGATAATAAATGGTAAATTAACTAATTAACTAAATATTGTCTTTTTTTTTGGTAAAAAAAACCCTTGAATTATAATTCATCGGAAAATAAATTTTTTTTTTTTTTAAGTTAAAAAAAAATTTTTTTTTTTCTAAAAAAAAAAAAAATTAGATGTAAATAATTATAAGCCATATTATTGTAAAAATAATTTCTAATATTCTTACAATAGCGGTTAAACGGTAACTTAATCAAGTCACAATTACACATTATTTGTTGTTGAATGCAGAATGTGCATATTCTAAGAGTCGGGTACCTAATAGTCCTGGGCGCAGCATATATACCCTATTAGAGATCAGATAGGAAAATCATCTTTCCGGAGAAATTAAGAAAGAATGATTATTGGATTAATTTCTAACAATCAATCTAAGACACGAGGTTGATCAAAATAACGAATTATAATTGTTTCTTAGACTCTCTATTCTCTCCCTTTTTTGATCGTAATACTCTTTGACTGGACGTCTTGCAAATGTGATACAATATACAGTATATAGATTAGTTTTGATTGAAAAAAATGACTTACTTAAGAATAATAATTTTTTTTTTTTAATAAACGTTCATACATTAATATTTCATAAATAGTTTCTTTCTTTTGTTTATTTATATCAACAAGAACACCAAATATCAAACATAAATATTTTAATTTAAACAAAAATATTTATTAATTACTATACTTGACATTTTATTATCCCTAGATTAAAAAAAGATCATGTTAAAAAATTTATATATAGTTTATGAATAAAATTATATCTTTAGAACTGGATTAAATACCTGTTTTACATATTATCTTTCGTTCCTTGTAGGACGCAATCCGTCATTTTCTTTATGTTGCAAAAGATAATAATTAATGTTAATCAGGAATTTGTTTTGTAATCTTGTAACATTTAACAAATACAAAAAATCAAAAAGGATAAATGATTTAATTGTTAAAGAAAACAATCGAATTAGTGTAAATCCTTTTATTATTAATCTTGTCCTTTAATTTTTTTTTTTTTTCCCTTAATTAATCTGTACATAGTATCGATCAACGCAAAATGAAACCTACTTTATCATAGTATACTCGGCAAAAGATGTCTTGACAATCTATGTAAAATTCATATTAAGTAATGGTAATAACATATCAGAGTCCATATCTGCACAAAGATCCAAATTTTAAAAAATGATACAGTACATAAAAACGCGATAATTGTAAATAATTTTTTTTTGAAATAATCGCGTAATACATACTTACATCATACGTATATCTCTCCATATTTGTTAATATTGTCTGTCGTACAATATTTTTCAAAAAATTTCTCTAGATATCTAATATGATGACGAATATTTTAGAAAGAAATTAATCGACAGCCCAATCAAAAAAAGAAAGAATTTTTTTTTTTTTTTTTTTTTTTTTTTTA